ACTATAACTATAACACTATCTTTATCTACTAAGTATCTAATAACTATAATATAGTAACTATTCTATAGTTATACTTTTACTAGCTTTAGTAGAACTCTAATTCTACTACTATCTATATAATAATATCTACTTACTAAAGATAATCTATAAATACTTTATTTTTATTATTTTATTTCTTATTACTTTTTTTAAAAATCTTCGCTAAGACGTACTACTATAAGTAAATTTAACTCTATATTATATAGCTAAGGTATAGCTCTAACTCTATTTTAATTATATATATAGTAAAGTATATATAAATAGTATCTATACTTAGTAGAAAGTACTTAATTATTAATATATTAATAAAGTTTTCTAGAACTTTAGTAATATATAAAGCTTTAGCTACTAAGTACTTTATAATATCTAGATTTAAGTTATAAAAAAAGCGCTATATTTTATTAATAAGATTATTAAAGGTAAAGTTCTAGTAAAAAATAATAGTAGAATCTACTTATATTATATACTTTTATAAAAAACTTATAAAATAATAACTATTAATAGCTTTAGTAAGTACTATATTATTAGTAAAGTAGTTTTTAATAGTATATATTATAGTAGAATATTAATATAAAGTAGAGTAATAAAACGTAGTCTAGTAACTCTATATAGTAATCTTAATATAGATATATTTTCTAAATACCTTATACTTACTATAATATAATAGTAGAAATAGTATATATAATAGTAGTAGTTATAAAAATAATAAAGAAAGTTATAAAATTTACTATAATACTATCTTTTATAATTATCTTAAGAGAATCTAGAGAAATAAGTAGTAATAGTAATATAATTTAAAGAAAAGTAATTAAATAATAATAAAGTAACTTAGTAGAGCTTTAGTAAGTAAAGTAATATAACTAGTAAGAGATTAGTTTTATACTTATAATTATCTAGAAAACTTATAAACTATTTAAAGTACTAGTATAGTGTTTAGTATTAGATTTAAGCTATATTAATATATCTTTAGATTTCTAAGAGTAATTTATAAAATAGAAGAAGTATACTTTTACTAAGATTTTAGAATATATATTCTAATTATAAACTTTAAAATATATTACTCTATTAGTTATAAGCTAATAAGTATATATAATTATATTATAATTTTCTTAGAAATTAGTATTAAAATTCTTTTATAAAGTAGTTTAGTATTAAAATAGCTTTATAGCTAGTTTAAATTTAAAAGCTTTAACTACTTTAAAAGTAGTAGTACTAAGACTCTAAGCTTTAGCTTATCTATTTCTAAAGTACTAAAACCTTTAGTTATATATTCTTTAGTGTACTAGTAATAAACTTTACTTTTTTAAAACTAGTTTATAGGCTATAAAATTATTAGTTTACTAATAAATTATAATTATATATATATAGTAAGTAATATTACTAGCTATTAGAGATATACTCTCTAATAAAAAAATTAATATAATACTTACGTTAGGTTACTATTATAGCTAGAAGCTAAGTCTTAGTAAGAAATATTAAAACTTTAGATAGAAGTAATATATATACGCGCGCGTAGTGTAATACTTTAGATAGAAGTAAATATTACGCGTATAGTATAAGATATAATATAATTACTTATATATATAAGCGTATCTAAGTATAAGTAAAAACTATAGCTAATAGAAGCTCTATAAGAGATAGATAGCGTAGACCTCTAGAGCCTATATAAGCTTTATACCTTAAGAAGATTTAAAATACTACTCTCTAGTGTAGCTAGAAAGTAAAGTAATTTTATCTATAAATACTTCTAGCTATATTATTAAACTTTTTATATAAGCTATAGTACACTTTCTATACTAATATATAGTCTATATATACTCTATACTTTTTAGTAAAGTACCTTTACGCTCTAATAAGTATAATCTCTTTCTAATCTTCTAAGAGTATTTTATTACTACTAGAAACCTTTTAAAGAATACTACTTATATAGTAAATATAAATACTATAGATATATAAAAAAAGATAAAGATACTACTTTTCTAAGTAGTTTATTAAAAGGTTATAATTTTAAAGCTTTTAATATTACTATTATAAGTTATTAGATATCTTATCTTTAGTATATAAGTAGTTAGAATTTATATATAGTTAAGTGTTATATAGATAAGAGTACTTAAGACTATCTAGAATATTAAATCTATAGTAGTATATAAATATAGCTTTACTTACTATAGTAAAAGAGCTAAGTTAGTGTATATTCTATATAAACTTAAAAGCTATAGACGTACCTAGGTATAAACATATTATATAGTATTCTTATACTATAAAAATATACTAAATTTAAAGTTAGAGATAGCTATTCTCTATCTAGATTCTCTCTTACTAGATCTAGTATCTCTTAGTATTTAGAATAATTTTCTTTCTATTAATAAAGTATTTCTCTAACTCTTAGGTAGTAAAGTCTTACATAAAGAGAATACTATACTTCTTACTAGTAGAATATTTCTTATACTAAACTCTATCTCTTAGAACACTACTCTTAGTGTTATTTATAACTTCTTTTAGATATAATACTTTCTAGTTAGATATTTACTCTAATAACACTACGTATAGAATAGAAGTAATTCTAGTAGCTACTAGTGTATAAGATTATAGCTATTACGCTTATATTAGTAATAGATAAGTAGACTCTAAAGCTTCTCTCTCTAGTAGCTAGCTTTCTAGCTAGCGCTATATAAACTCTATACTCTTTATAATATCTATAATAGTAGTATTAATAGTAGTAGTAAAGAAGAAGTAGTATTATTAATTAGCTATATAATATTAGAAGCGTAAGTTACTATATAGATCTAAAGGCAAGCGAGAGATTCTAAGCGTAATACGCTGTCTTAAGCATAGTACTAGGCTATATTAGGTACCTATATCTTAGCTAAACAAAATATTAAAGCTACTTAAATTAGCTTAGCTATTATATATAGATCTATAGAGTAGTTAGTTACTATTTAATAAAATAGTTAAGAATATATACATAATATATTTAAGCTAAAGATAGTTTACGAATACTATAAATTTTCTAGATAGGTAGTAAAACATTATATATACGTAAAGCAAGGCTAGAATACGTAGAGTTTAATAGAGTCTTTGTAACGTAATTACTTTATAAACTTACTTTATATAGTAGAATAGCTTCTTATAGATAACTATAGTGTATCTACTAGTCTATCTTAAGAATTAAAGTGCTCTAGCGCTAGTAAGAGCTTTAGAATAGCGCTGTCTTTAATAGAAGAGTTTGCGCTCTTAGCGTAATAAGAAAGTATTAGTTAGTAGAAGTCTCTAATAAGCGCAAGATTATGCTGCGCATTAACTTAGAAGCTTATTTCCACTTAATGCATTAATTTCTACTTGCAAACCTTTTCTACACACCTAAGTAGCTAAGCTAATCTATGTTAATAGTAAGTATGCGTTCTAGTTGTAACATGCGATAAGTAGAGTAACTTACACTAGGTCCTATCTATAAATTAAATTTCTCGTCTCGTCTAAGTTGCTCTTAGTCTTCGCGACACCCTCTTACAGATTATTAGAAAGGAGCGAGACTAGGTTATACATGTCACCGCCGCGCATGCTGTATGCTATAGCGTGTGCGTTAGGGCCCGCCTAGAACTAATATGCGGGTCATCGCACTATTTTTCTCCGCCTCGATCCGCTGGCCTGATCAAGTTGAAGCACGATGCGATATGCCAGATCTCCTGTAGGTGGTTAGGGATTCGTTCCGTCCTGGAAGAGTGACTATAAGATCGGCGCCCTAGTTCTAGCCCTCCGAGGTTGTCACGCGCGCCCTATCGCCGGTGAACGAGCCCGGATTTATAGTCGTTACTTTTGCGTTCAGTACTACGATCACGCCCAGTTCTTGCGCTCGCTTGACCATGGCCTGCTGCAGATCTACGCGATGGCAGTCGGAGAATGGCGCTTCGTACTTGCGGCGGATGTTCGCATCGAACTCTGCCTCGTGCGCAAGTATCTTACCGCGATAGTTGTGGACAGTCAGTGCGATGGGCTCGCAGACACGATCGCGGATAGTGTCGTAAACAGACCAGTTCAGAAGGAGACGTGTAGCATTAGGTGTAAGTTGAAGGCCTGCGCCTATCTGGAATGCTGGTTAGTATAGACACCGATTGCAACCATCTGGTGTCGTAGACGTGAGCACATACTTCAGCCAGCTCCCTTGCGCCCTCCAATACCGTCACCGAGTGTCCTGACAAGGCACATTGTATCGCTGCGGCGAGTCCAGAGAGCCCAGCGCCCACGACTAAGATGTCGAGCTTGTGTGGCATAGCTGGCGTTGGTTCAAGTCGTGGCGGAAAAGGCAAGACAAAAGTCAAGCTGCGAAGACGAGTCGACCCAGCGGAACTGACGTGTGCAGGCGCGTCGTCGCCGTACTCGACTAACGTTCTATCGGACACGCATCTATCGCCGGCCGCAGCGCGTTTCGATGCGTGCAGGATAATGTCTCTTCCGGAGTGGTGTGGGGGATGCGGGGTTGCTTTAAGCCACCCTTGCAGTGCTTGCAGCACCCGGGCGTGCGCGCAGGTCGGCAACGCTTGGCGTGGGATAACAATGGTGGCAGCACACAGAACAACGGAGCATAATCCCAGGTGGCACGTCGAAAGATTGATGCTTTGTCGCTTTGGAGGTGTCGGTATCATTTGCGATGGGCCATTCGAAAAGCATGCCAACTAGCCTGTATCGCAGCACCTCCCCAATGCGAGATTGGTATTGTACGGCAGCTTGCTCGACCGTCGTCATGACGCTAATACTGCAACGATCACGGCCAGACGCTCGCTTGTACATCCCGTGGCATTCAAAGATTCCCGTTGCTCGATAGCTACGGAGATGCGCCGCGCCTCACGTCATGGGGTGGGGTAATGGAAAGACGTTCCGCCCTACCGTTGTTCAAGATATATTCCACGTCACTACGCGTCTGCAACAACATTCCACGCTGTTCGAACAAATACCATTCAACAACCATGGTCTCTCTCGACAAGCCAATCGTGCTCCATTACGAAGGCTCCATCTTCTCGCACCGGGTATTATGGTATCTATGGCTTCGCGGTATACCCTATGATGAATGTGTACATCATTTCCGTCTCTTTCAGTTGCGTCAGCTAAGAAGTCATCTAGATCCAGCCGGCATTCATGCCGCGTGAAGACCTTGAACTGCTGGGCGTCGGCTACAGAAAGATACCCGTCGTGATCATCGGAAAGGACATATACTGCGATTCTCGATTCATCATCTCCAAGCTAGAGTCTCTGTACCCCAACAGCGCTCTCTCACCTTCCACGCCAATGGATGTTGGTATCAGAAAGCTCTTCGAAAACTGGACAATCGACGGCGGCATCTTCGCCAACGCCGTGAGGATGATACCATACTGGCAGGAGACAAGCTTCCTATCGAATGAAGCCTTTGTAGATGATCGTCAGAAGCTCATGGGAAGGCGCTTCACCGCCGATGATATGGAGATGGGGCGGCCCGATGGCACGCAGCATTTGCAGCTCGCTTTTGACATGTTGGAGTCTACTTTCCTTGCCGATGGCAGGGCGTGGATTTTGAACACACAAGAACCCTCGCTAGCAGATATTGATTGTGTGTGGCCATTCAAGTGGTTGATGTCGGAGCCCACTATGAAGGACAGTCTTCCCGCGCGTTACTTCAACGCTGAGACGTATCCGAGAGTATTTTCGTGGGTAGAGAGATTTGTGGCACAACTGGAAAAGAAAAGGAAGAGAATGCCAATGCTCAAAACGCTGGATGGAAATACTATGGCACAACGAACTCTTGGCACTTCTACCTCACCAGAAAACGTTACATTCATCGATGACAATTCACATAAGCTCAAATACGGCGACGAGGTCGAGATATTTCCTTCCGATTACGGACATATGGGAAAGACTGTTGGGAATCTCGTTGGTCTTACAATTGACGAGGTCACTATCTGTAACAGCAAAAGCATCCGTGTACATTTTCCGCGCTGGAACTTCAGTGTCGTCAAAATCGCGTCTAAGTCCATGATCTAGACAACTGATAGATCCGATTTCCGTTCATCTTTCTCGCTACGGTTAGTGAATTTAGTGAGCTCGTTCCAAGGCAATAGTTGCTGTCTCATCGCTTTTCATCACCGAAGCGTTTTCCTATCGGTCACTGTAGCTGCTGTAACATTGCGTTATAGAACACCAGCGGACTAGATGTTTAGCAATTCGCACTTTAGTTTGTAGTCATTGCAGGTAAGCTGGGACATTTGAAACATAACGCTACGATGGAGATGAGCATATGAGCCCATGCAAAATGGTACGTCCGTGTCATAAGCCTTTTGTTATCGAATTAAATTAATCGTGGTTGGTAAAACTTTGCAGGACGGTATACATCGACCTCTGACGCAACACGACGACAGCAAAGTCACTGCTGTTCACGAAAGCTATTCTTCCTTGTCCGCAGCTTATGAGGCTAATGAATTGCCAGCGCCATTCTCCTTGCAGTAATAGTTCAACTCATCACCACCGATGTGATTCCCTAGCGATTGACAAAGGTTGAGCTTGCCGACTTCGGTCTGCACAATGTTAGCATGCGAAGGGTTCATGGAGGGATTCTTGTATGTCTCACCATCTTGCAATCGGCACATGTATCCCATTGCTGGTCGCCAGTGTTGCGATTCAGATATGCGTCGCATGCCTTTGTTGTTGCGTCGGCGTTGTACACGTATTGTCCGCCGACTTCATCGACACAAAGACCTTCCCTGTGGAGGTCGGCGTTGACGAAGGAGCCCACGAGGATGGGAAGTGCGGAGAGGACGACTGAGAAATGCATGACGGCTTCAGGTTTCGAAATAGCTCAGACAGAGCGAAGGTAACGACAGAATTGACTGTAAAAGCCAGGTGCACCAAAGGATTAAAGAGCGGAAGTTGGGTACTGCTCAGAACCGGATGTGGAAACAAGATAAATAAGTAAGAACTGATGATAGAACGGATCCTCGTTCATGCTTTCATGGCCATCACTACAATTGTCCTTTGTCCATTCTCGGCGCAATTGTGGCGAGCGCGCCCCTTCTTCCAAGGTTTTGAAACGTGGTTGAGCCACCGCGGTATCGAGGGACCGCACAGCAATGCCCCAATCCCACATTCCCTCGGCAGGTGAACCGAGTGCACTATTAGAGCGGTGTCCTATTAGAAGTCGGGAATTCTATGCCTTGTATTATTAAGGGTAGATGCCGAGAACCCGGAAAGGGTTTGCACTTCATGCGCTTCGGCCCGAAAGAACGATGCGGGCGTGCTTTTGTTACAGTGATACTCGAGGAGCCACTCGACTCATGTTGCGCCTAGCGAGACCCACTCAGAATAAGTAATCCTACGGCGAGCCTTTGGGTAGGCATGGAAGAACTATTCGTACTTCGAGACAGCAAATCACCGGACAACCATGAAACCAATCAGCCGCGCACCTGAACACGTTACCTAGGTTCGTATACTCCACCACTATTGATCCTTCATAAATCCCTGCCAAGAAATGTATTGACGTACCTGTTTACCAAGATAGCTGGAATGTTAAAATTGCGTCTCAGAACCCATGTTACGATCAGTCATACAGCCGACGCTGCCAATGCGGTGCTAACTTGCTCGCATTTCTTGACGATAAGTAGAGCACGCCTCCCTGATCATGAATTCTTCTCACCACCTTACCTGCCCTGTCACTCTTTTCGTAAAGTTCTACACATTCGTTTCACCTCATATATGTACTCGCTATAATGCACTCCACTTCCTTCATCACCCTCATTTTTGGCGCCGCTCTCGTCGCGGCTGCTCCCGCACCCGTCAAAATCGGACTGGATGACGTTATCCTCCACGGCAAAGGCCACTTCACCGTTATGAAACGATCTGCCTTTGAAGAGCTGGAAGCTGCACGCAAGGCCAGTGCTGTACCTCCGAAGCCTGCCTACCTTGCTGAGATTCACTTCTCCGGCAACGAGACCAAAACACCAGACAAGCAGCACTTGAAACGCGACACCAGCATTATCATTCCAAACCCCAACTCTCGTTTCTTGGGCTGGGATGTTCAAATGAGCCAAGTCACCAAGGGCGCACCGACTACTATCTCCGTCGCCTCGGGTTTCTCCATTAGTAACAGCATTTCGGTTGGGGCGAGCAGCACTTTGACACTAGTCAAGGACTTCCTCCAAGTCTCCATGTCAATCGACTACAGCCAGACGTGGCAAACGACTCAGACGCAAACCTTCACCGCCGAGGTCCCCAAGGACAAGTATGGCGCTTTTGTCAGTAACCCTTGGACCAACCGTGCGAGTGGAAGTGTCTGGACGGGTACCATCGGTGGTTATGGAGAGCTATCCGACTACCAGGCTGACTCGTTCGAGTCAAAGCAGTTTGACAATATGGAATGGGTTGATGGTGTTATCAGTCTTTGTACAGGCGACGAGTTTCCTCTCAAGAGATGCTTGGGCGAGGGTACACTATGAGGCTGGACAGCACATACTGACTTGACTGCGTGTCGGAATCGAGGATGCATGGAGGATCAAGACGGCTTCATAGATCCAGTACAGCTAATAATGTTCAAGTGCTGTTTTGTAGAGGAGAGCGTTTGTTGTGAGACCCATCGAGCATGAGGCAATCGCATGTCAAACACCCAGCACTAGGCCGAGAGCCTGGTTGATCATGCCTCTATACCTGCATCGTTCTGTCCATCCAAGGCTTCAGCGCCGCAAGGCCGATGACAACAGCCTCCTCTGTTCTAATTGTCCTGCTGCCCTGTCCCGGAACCAAATTAACCCAAGCATCAAAAAGCTCGCTAGCCATCGATTTGCCCAATCCTCTTGCCGCGAGAACCGGGTCGTTGGCAATAGCCGGTTCTATGCCGGCCTGGCCTCCGAACACAATAAGGAGGTGTTTAAAGGGTTTGTGAGCTTTGGCTTTGGCTGCAAACGTAGCAGACTCATTGCTAGTGTCAGTAAATAGTGAATAGACGGACTGGCCGCGTTCCGATGTTCCTATAGACATGTCATAGCCATCTGGGTATTCGCAATCGGAGAAGACGGCGCTGAGTGATGGAGCGCGTCGGACCGTGTAACCCCAGTAGTAGCCGCCTTCCTCACGTGGAAGACTGGCCGCGCATGCCGTAGCATTTAGTAGATTACATTCCTGCTGAGATAGGTGGGGCCAGTTGGGAGGTGCATCGGCGTTGGTGAAGCGAACGGTTGTGCGCATGCCTTGCTCAGGAGGGGCTTCTTTGGGGACAGGGACGCGGATGGGATGCGGCAGACCGCATTTGACGTATGCATACTCTGAGTCATGAGACAGAGATGTCCCTGAGCTGTTGTTCTTGGGTATCAATGATGCGGGCAAATGGGCTGGGCCGACAAAGACACCCTCGCGGTACCGACACCACTCGTGGCTTCGAAGATGGTGCGGCATATCCATACTTGGGAGATTACCAACCCATTTGAGATTCTGATGTTCCTTGAAGATGCTCAATCGGGGATCCTCGGCGTCGTATCGTAGATGAGGTGGGCATTCGGCATAAGACAATAAATGGCAAAGGAACTGGTCTGGGCTCTGCCATGCCTCATCGTGCTCCAGGATAGAGTCGAGGACTTGTTGCTTGGACCGTCCTCTGCGGATGTATTTTGGATCAACGACTCTGGGATCGACATTGGTCGGATCTTCATCGAATACGACGATTTCATCGACACAGTAGATGGCGGCTGCGCGTGCGATTCGTCCGACTTGGATAGTCTTGTGATCGGGCTTCTTGGCATTGAGAGTCCAGCTTCCGGGCAAAGCGATGGTGACGGTCCAGTCGCGACCTTTGGTTGGTGCGAAAAGAGCGGTAGGTTTAGAAGTATCAACGTCGTCTATTTGTTGCTCTTGGGTGTCGCGTTTGCGTTTCTTGGCAGGACTGACGTTGTCATGTGGAGGCTGATGCACGGCCATGGTCAGTCTTGGACTTGAGCTGGAGCCCTTCGAAGTCACGATGTCGTGGACAAAGATGGCGCAACGTGCTCTCGGGTAGCGGGTGCGGTCGCGGGAAAATGTGAATCGGTCGGTAGGTAGCATGTTGCTACTTGAAGGTCGCAACTTTTCGGCCTGTCTTGGCGCGCCCACCCCTGTCGCACCGCGGGCTTGCGGCCTGCGGCTTGCGGCACTCGGCGGCGCAACTGAACTTCCATATCTCTTTCCCACCATGACAGTGGTACAAGCGCCTCACAATATGGACGCGCACAGGTATGCCTAGCCACCGCCCCCTTCCTTGCTCGCACACAAAACTGACAACCCCGTCCAGGCCCACGGCGTCGCCTGCGACGCCCACCGGCACGCTCTTGGCCTTCCTCGCCCTCTACCTCACTACGCTCTTCTCCCTCGATACGTGGGCCGCCGCACGAGGCTCCCCCTACCGCGCACCAGGCATCGACAACTCGACGCATCGCCCTCCCGTCACGGCACCGGCACGAGGCAGCTACCAGGGCGGCATGCATGGTCGCGGTCGTGCTGGACCCGGGCCTGGTAGTCAAGCGCGGGGCCGTGGACACGCCGGGAGCGTCGCGCAGACGGGCGACTCGAGACCGCCGATTCAGATGGGTGGCACAGCTGGGTGCGGCGCTTGTTTGACCTAGGGCAGGCGACGCGAGGCGGTGGGCACAGCACTTGCATGGCTGACGATGAGTGGCGGCCTAGTCTTGAGCCTATCTTGACATCTTCATTGCTCCCTTTCGCGCCAAGCGACTCGGTGATGCTAACGATACTAACTACGCTCCCCTCCGCACATTCGTACTCATCAACGTGATCTTTTTGCCCTTCTTCTTCTTTCCGCCGGCCGGCTTCTTCGCGCCTTCCTCGCCTCCTTCTAAAGACATGGCTTGCGCTCGGGCAAGCATGTCCTCCTCGGCAAGCAAATCCTTCTCCCAGCCCTGCAGCCACCCATCATCGCCGTCATGATGATCCTGGGGCCCAAACACTGGAGACGTGCCTGCCACTATCGCCGTACCCCATACGGTCCGTGGCGCTGACGGGCTTGACGAAGGAGAAGCCAACGGAGCGAAGCCATCGCCACGCCGCCGTGGCCAGGGTGGCGACGTCGAAGAGTTGTCTCCATCCATGACGGGCTGCGCGTCCGGCATGCTGCCTGATGCTAGAGGCTGGAAATCGTCGGCGGAGAATCTCTCCGTCATGCTTGGACGTCTTCTGCGCGCAGATGCAAACTCGGCGTACTCGGCCTTTTCCGCGCGCTGTCGTGCCTTCTCCTCTTTACTCTCCTTCTCAACATGCCTCTTTCGCCTTTTCTCAATATCGGGTCGGAAGCGTTCCAGCACTTCTGGGGCGACTGTATCGGTCCAATCACATTCAAGGAAACCAACTTCACAGCCGTATGGTAGATGCGCCAGGTATTTTGTGCGCTTGCGCAATTCGTCATCGACTACGTGTCCCGTAGATACGTGCTCGACACGGGGAAGGATCGTTGAGGGGAACGAGGCGAAATTTCCGAAAGCCGCTTTCAAAATGCGGATATCTAACGGAGATAAGTAGTAATGCAATAGTGCTTGGTAGAAGAAATATTCGGCGGGCGTCTGGTGGTGCTCGTGGTGCTGTCGATTGCGAAGCTCTGCAAGCGTCAGAGACATGCCGTGGCTTGCTGCTGAAGAGTGCGAAGAGACAGACATGGCCCTGTCCTTGCCATAAGCGGTCCCGACCTGGGAATGGTCCTGTACAGTGTTCATGTCTGGCGCCGTCGTCTCGTTGAATACCATGGGCGCTCTCTTCATCTTGGGTTCCGCGGGCTTGCAGGCCTCGTCTGGGGGGTTTCCGATTCCTCTAAGCTTCTCCTTGGCCTCTCGGATATTCCGTACCGCCTTGTTGGTCCATTCCATGCTGTCTTCGGCAAACATGACTTCATCCTCTTTGCCTTGGTGCTCCAGCTTCACAATCTCTTGATCATGTTGGTCCAGCATGTAGTCCTCACCGCCGCGCATTATGCGGGCATAGTCGGTCACCTCGGCGGCATGATACCAGGGGATATCTTCGTCTTTGGTCATAGCGTAGGCGCCATCGCGGGGCATAGCCAAGGTGCTTCCCGCGGATCTGACAGCCAAGCGGAGAACTACATCGCCTCCCTCGCGGGGAGGCTCGCCCTCCTGGCCTGTGTACCAGCGCACTGGCCTCGTTTCAGAGGCGTATATGGTGTCGAAGCACAGCGGGCATTTGCTCGAACGCGCCCGTTTGTCTCGGGGCTTGGCGTCGTCTTCGGAATGCATGTAGCGGATGAGACATGGGAGACAGAAGATGTGGCCACACCTCGCCATCCTGGGGGCTAGGGGTGTGCCAAGGCAGATGGGACACGAGGCGTCTTGTGAAAGCTCGGAAGCCAGGATCTGCAGGACGTTGTTCCAGTCGAGGTGGACATCGGCATCGACACTCTGGGCGCGGTAGTCGGCGCGGGGGTCTACGATGAAGCGGTAGTTGGCGTGCACGTATCTGCATGGTGTTAGCGGAATGGTCGACACGGTGCTGCTCCCGCTGGGACTCTCACCTTGCCTTGTCTACGGCGTGGTAGCCCGAGCCAAGGCCCCACGTCGGGTTGCGCCGATAGCTCCTTGCGTGGCCATGGGCGGCATGGTTGGTTGGGCGGGGCGGCAAGCTGAAGTTCATGAGGTGGGTAATGGACGTCTGGCCCTTGCGGTTCTGGAAGGGACGCATGGCGAGAGACTCGGCAATGGCATCCTCGTCCGTCTGCCTGAAGCGCTTCGACGCCTTGTGCTGTTTCTTCTGCTGCTGCGAGTTGCGGGGAGTCGGCAATGACCGCGCGGGCGCGCCACTACCCCGCGGCTGCGTGGAGAAGCTGCTGGTGCTGGCGGAGGGCGTCTGCGTCTGCGTCTGGGCGGGTGAAGCGGGCCCCGAGGGAGCGGAGGCCTTGGACGAGGCGGCGGCGGTGGGCGGATTGCTGGACATGACGCCCAGCTAAGGGTTCACGAGCAGGACAAGGGCGAGTAATGCGAGTGCGGTGATATGTAGCTGCGAGGGTTGGCGTCCCCAAGAGGTGGCTTGGAGACGACGAGCGTCGCAAGGCCGAGTGGCGATGGTGCTCTGACGACAGCGTCTCCGCACAGACGGCTGCGATTGCCCTTTCGGATCACGTTGGCGCGGCTTCTTCTACAACCTCACCGATTCCGACCCCAACAGCAATCCGCCCCGACCTCTACCTCTACACTGCACCCCACGTGTCTCCGTCGCGGGCAGCCCGTGCTGCGCTCATGTCGTCCTGATACCATGACCCCGCAGTCCCACTAGACACTCCCCTCGACCCGTTGCCGCGCACGCTGGCTGCGACGGCTCCCGCCAGCGCCCACGGTCGAGGCAACACGGCCTCCAGCGCCCACGATGCCCGGCCCGTACCTGCCTGGCAGCAGAAGGCACGAGCAGCAGTACTACCACCACGCGATGCCGCCCCAGACACACTCGCCCGTCCACCACAATCCCTATGCCGCGCCCTACCACCACCAGCAACACCACCACCAGCACCACCACCACCACCACCAGGCACCGCACCATGGCCCGCTCCACGGCCCGCTCCACGCCTATGCCCAGCAGCCGCCGCCGTGGTACCCTTACCAGCAGCCGCCGCTCCAGTACGCCATGCCTCCGCGCCCGTTCCAGCCGCAACCCCATGCCTCGCCCGTCGTCGTCTCTTCGCAGCTGCACACGCTTCCCCCGCGCATGCCCACGCCGCCGCCGCACTCGCCCGCTGCCACGACTGTCGACGCCCCGCCGCCCTCGCCCCAGTCCGTCACATTCAGGCCTTTCTACCCGCCTCTGCCCTGGCTGTCCGCCCCCGACTCCGTCTTCCCGCCACGCGCGACACCCCGCCGGCGAAGGCGCAGGGCTCCCGTTCACATCGAGGACCAGGCTCTGGCCCTACCCTCGCGTGACGCCACGTACCTCGACCAAGGCACCCACGGCCAGCTGACCCCGTCCGAGGAGCCCGACGACTCGCAGGCTTCTACCATACCGGCACCCTCTGACGCTGATATCGATACTCCGTCCACCTCACACCCGCCTTCGGAAGTCGATCTGGCGCAATCTGCCCCGCCGTCTGCTGCAACACCATTGCCCGTACAATCGCCAGCCCAGCCTTCAGCCACTGTCAAGCAACACGCCCGCAACCCCACGATCCCAGCCGTGCCCCGCGTTCCTGTCAAACCAATACAGGCTCCCAGTGCACCTTCGATGACGCAACAGTCGGTTAAATCGCCCGCCGGCACTCATCAGGAACACACCCAGAATGGAGACACTACAGCAACAACACCCCACACAGGCCCAAACTCCGAAGAGACTCCAAAGGCATCTCCGCCTCGGCCGGCAGCACCAAAATCCTGGGCAGAGCTGTTGAGGGCAAAGAACACTCCCGCCGTCGCGCAGCCAGCTCCCTCTCCCAACAATACCTTGGCTGTTTCCAACGGCCCTGTAGTACCTAGCAACACCACGCTTGCACACGTTCTGGCGTCTTTCTCAGTTGACGCCGAGACAAAGGCTTCCTTTATCGAGCCTCGAGGGCTTGTAAACACGGGCAACTTGTGCTACATGAACTCGGTGCGACCTAACCCGCTACTCTACTCTGTGCCACGCTGACTTGTCTTGCAGATTCTCCAAGTACTACTGTTCTGCGTTCCCTTTTACGACTTCCTTGATCAGGTGGCAAAGCGCGCTGCGCACAGCTTCAAGTCCGAAACTCCTCTCGTGGATGCCATGATCATGTTCCTGCGCGACTTCCGACTCATCGACTCTGCCGACACCGTCGACCAACTCCGTCTTCGGCTAAAAGGCAACGAGCTCGAGCAGTACGGCGACCCGCTCACACCCGAGTACGTATACGACGTCATAAAGCGTCTGCCTCGATTCGACAATATGAAGAGGGGTCAGCAAGAAGACGCCGAGGAGTTTCTGGGCTTCTTGCTTGCTGGACTGCACGACGAGTGCGTCCACATCATCAAGAGTGGCAAGCAGAGCCAGTCCGCAGACGCCGTCGCATCCCCCGGGACCGCACGATCAGGCTACATTGATGGTGGATGGGAAGAGGTTGGGCACAAGCAAAAAACTTCTATTACACAAAATTCTGGGGCGATTGATGTTGAAAGTCCCATCACCAAGATCTTCGGTGGCAAGTTGCGGTCGGAATACAAGAGGCCAGGCGAGAAGGCCTCGGTCACACTTGAGCCGTACCAACCCCTCCAGCTCGATATCGGTGAGCCCAACACTAACAACATCTCTGATGCTCTCAAGAATCTTACGCGTCTCGAGACGTTGGACGGTGCGGCTCGGGGTTCCAAAGCTTCCACCAAACAAGTACATATTGAGACCCTCCCACCAGTCCTCATTCTTCACCTGAAGCGTTTTCACTACGACGAAAAGGGACCACAAAAGATTTGGAAGAAGATTGGGTACCCCTTGGAGTTGGAGCTGCCGAAAGAGGTTTTTCCCCCGCATAAACGAAGCAGCTACCACATCCAAGGATGCTTCCCGCGTTATCGCCTCATTGGGGTCGTGTACCACCACGGTAAGAACGCAAGTGGTGGCCACTACACCGTCGACCTGCGGCGCCAGGAGGGCAAGGAATGGATCCGAATGGACGATACCATCATCCGCCGCATCCGCGCCGAGGATGTCGCTGAAGGCGGCGCTGAAGAGGATCCCAAGGTCCTCGCGGCCGGACTCGAGCAACACCAGAGCGATATGGGGATGAGCAAGAACTACTTTGCCCGGATTGACCTGGATGAGCAAGGGACGGACAAAGGAGGCTGGAACCAAGTCAGTGGAGCCGAGAAGCAAAAGGATAGCATCAAGAAATGGACTGGTGCTGTCAATGGCACGACAACCCCCATCTCACCGGGCAAGAGGACGCCACTGCCCAGCGAGAATGTGCGCGACAACAAGGTGGCCTACATCCTGTTCTATCAGCGCATGGAGAATTGAAGAAGTATGAAGTAAATGGGCCAGGCCGAAAGTGACGAACCGGCCTCTATCCTAGCCGCTTTATGCACGTCACCTCAGAGCTCTACTGCAGCATGTACGACTGAGTAAAAATGTCACGACATGCATACCAATGAAGCGTGCAACAGATCTGCCGGGTCTGCATGGTTTACCGAGCAGCAGCGTGGTAGCGCCTTCAGGTTAATGTGATAGCCTGTGGCAGTTGTTGAGCACGCGACAAATAATAAAACGATCCAATGTTCACTCCTGCCCCATTCGTACATGCTCTGCTAACAACCACGGTACCTAGGTGCTGATGTAACCCATTAGGTTAGCTGCTTAGCCCACCACCCAAGGCTCACGGTCGTGACGTGCGGGGAAGAACGCACACATGATAAGAGACAGTGCAAAGCTTCAATGTAACGCACAGCAATGTTCGATTCCAACAACCAAAGTACACTCCAATTTTCTTGATTCTACGTGAACTAAGGCTACCTGTCTGATTGCGTCTGCATCAATCGATGCAGTTCGATATTGTATCAAGGTGCGCTCGTCATTCTCTCAAATTCCATCACACACCGGCGCTCATGTGTTACCACTTATCGTGTCTACCTGTTCTTCACGGCTACCTTGTCCGCCCCCTTCTTCGCCACCTTGGTTCGCTTGTTCGTCTTTTGTTGCGCATTCCTGGCTGGCTTGTCCTTCTGTTTTTGAGCATCCCTGGCTGCAAACAGTGCCGCCTTCGCTGCCGCCTTGACTCGGTCGTCCTCCTCTTTGCGCTCGGCTTTGAGTTGCTCTTCTGCCTCCTCAGCGATACGCTTCTCTGCTCTCTTCCTCGCCGTCTTCGCTCTTTCCGTCGCCAGGCGGCGCTGTTCGTCGTCGAAAACCTTGTACAATTTCTGCTGTATATTCCGGCCGACTTCGCAGGTACTTGGGCAGTTCAAATGCCCGAAGCATTGGAAGCCTTCTGGGCCATGATCGCAAATGTAATCGCCAGCGTCTGATTGGCAGCTACCCGGACACAATATCCGTTGCATGTTGAAGCAACGCAACTCGCACACGATGTGCAAGGGATTGTCGCACGAACTGTGCCCACACAAGTGGGACCCCTGCACATCCTTGTTCCACATCAGATGCTCACATCCAATGACCTTCAAGACGAGGCGATTGGATTGGAACCTCTCGGTCATACCACCTGCTGTGATGCTGATCTGCTCAGATATGTGTCGCCCCCCGAATGGGTCTGTGGGCGTTGAAGCCTCCGTTGGTATCCAACAGCCGTGGTGACCAACGGCAATTCGGCCGGCAGAGAGGTGGTTCAGGAGCGTCTCGACGTTTGACTGGCGCATGACAGACTCTCGGTCGGGGTCCACTTCCTCTTTGACTCCGGAGGATGTGGCGGCAAGGTCGCGATAGATCGGTTCGTTGTCTTTGCGGAGCTTGTCGAGTCGGGTTCTGATGTCAGGGATTGGACCTCTACATACATCAGGCGTAGGAGGCATCGAGGAACGGATGGACTTCAGAACCTTGGCGAGATAGCGTTTTAGCGATGGCTTTGTCTTGTCGCCGAATTTACGTTGGACACGTATAAGAGGGGGAGCTGTCGGGGAACGCGTTGAGGCAACAGTCCGACGGGGTTGCTTCGCGCGTGGCTTCCTGCTCGTTTTACGACTTGGAGCCATGGTTGGTTTCTAGGAAGAACGATACAATAATAATGTAGAGAAGGCTCGGGTGCAGAATAATAAAGATAAAGGTTAATTGTTGTTGCTTGCACAGCTACGCTACGCTACTTAAGTAGTAATGTTTGCTGCCTTAAATGCTAGACGCTTTAACTTCTGCAAGCCTTAGACTGCTAGACGCCTAGAGCCTACCTATAACGCGGATAATCTTGCTGCAGACAAGGTAATAAAACTAGACCCTACTGTCTGCATGCAGGGGGTTCTAAAAAAGGGCTAGCAATAACTAGGCAACTAACCTAATTGTTA